AGGTGTGTCCCTTCTGCTCTGTTAAACCCCGGTACTTCCCAACCACATCCACGGCTCCGACAGCCTGGGAGGGCCCCGTGCCCCTTTCCCGTCCCTCCCAACGGTTCAGACACTTCCATTTTCTTTTAGCACCGTCCAGATGTTTCTGCAAAACCAAAGGAAAACCCCCCAAGGGCCTGTCTCTTGCCTCCCACACGATGATTTCTGTGCAGGGCCGCGCTCCCTTCGCTGGCAGTGCGGACGTGATCGTGCCGGGTGACGGGAAGGTGGAGATCTGGCAATTAAGGATTCAAGGTGCCGGCCCGGTGCTGGGCTGAGTCGGAGCCCGGCAGAGCTCTGGAGCCCCTCTGCAGGGGAAGCTTGCCCAGCTCACGAGCCCTAAAACCATCGGTTCTCTCACCAATATCGGTTGGTCTTAAAGGAACTTTCTTCTGGGCTCTCCGCTGTGCTGCTCAGTGCCAGGCGCTGGGGCTCAGCCTTCCTCTCTCCTCCTCCTTCCTCCTCCTCGACCTGCATTTGGGGAGAGAGGAGGAGGTGTCCTGGGCCCAGCGCACAGCTGGGGTGTCTCTGGCTCTGTGGGGTGCCCTCCCCTCCTCTACCCTTTAGCAAAAGCAATCACATCTTGCCTTTTCTCTAACGCCCCAGCTCCCTCTGCACTACCCGGCCCCTCTCCCCAGCCCCCTCCCCTAAAGGCGGATTCCCTGGTCCTTATAATCCCCTCCGAAACTGTCCCAGCTCCTGCCAGAGCCCCTAACCCGGCTCGCGGGGCTTGCCTTGCTCCTGAACCTTTTCCCTCTGCCTTGTCCCTCATCCTCTCATCTACCCCCTCTCCCCCCTCCTGCCTCTGTTCCTTTAAAACCAGACTCGGTTCAAATTCAGGGATGGTTTTTTTTAAATGCGAATCGGGGGTCTCAAAGGCACCAGAGCGAATCAGAAGGCGAAACCTTTAATTGGGCAACCTCTGCCATCTTAATTTCAGGGCTCCTTCCTTCCCCTCGCCAGAAAAATCTGTATGAGTTAAGTTTTAGCTCTAGCTGCCTGCGCCCACCGGCTCACCGAGCTTTGCCTGTGCCTAACACGGTGGATTTTGTCGTGGCTTTTACGTTGGCAGCCACCTGAGCAGTGGCTGAAAAACCAGAGCGACCCGAGCTCCGGCCCTCGGTAGTTTCCCCCAGCAGCGCACGGAAAAGCCCTGGCAAGCAAGAGCTGGCGCTGACTCCGTTTTACACGCTTAATCCCGGTGTTGAGTTTAAAGTCCTGCCTCGATCTCGGGCGCAGCTGCTCAGAGCCGGTTCCCGTAGAAGCCGTAACAAACTCCGCATCTCACTGGTGTCTTAACTCTTCTCTGCTTAACCGCAAGGGTTGTTCGTTCTCCCTCCCATCCATGCTTTGGACTGACTTAAATCAACCCTCCCCGATGCATTTTTCCCCTCGTCTGCCCATAACTAACCTGTGTGGTGGTACTAACCCTTGTGAAGCGCTGGGGTAGAAAAACCGTGGTCCCGGGGCACCGGCTTTGCCGAGCTGTTGCCGAATCCCCTCCTACCGCCGGCCTTCTGGTACGGGGATGCTCGGCGCGGGGTACTTAAAGCATCCCATAACGCAGGATACGGCTCACGTACCGGGGAGAGGCGTGTGGGTGCCAGGCTGGGGGAGCATGGTTCATGTGCTGCGCTACCTCCCAGCTCAGCTGGGCTCCTCCTAAATAGAACCGGTCCTACAGGAGCGGGCGCTTGTCCGGCAGCTCTCCTGCGGGTTTTAGGTTTCTAGCAGGGGTCGGCGTTGCCGTTGGCGAGGCAGCTCCTGCCCCGGGGAGGTCTGACCCCACGGCTGCCTCCAGAGCAGAATCGCAGCTGGATGGGGTGACACAGCAGAAGCCGCCGGGTTTGGGGACCAGCCTCCATTCCCCATCTAGGCTAGGAGCGATTCCACCTGCCAGCCCCTCTCCGTTGCCTGCTCTTGCGGCTGCGGGCGGTTGATGATAACCCACCGTGTTTTCCAGCAGGCAGAGGTGTCCCGGTGAGGCTCTGCTCTCGCTGCGGTGCACCCAGGGAAGGCGGAGTTGTTCCACGAGGGCTTTTGTCTTGGAAAAGCCGTTACGGGCGCCAGGATGCTCCTTGGCATCACCAGGATGGTTCCCCTCTAGCTCCGAGACGGGCGTGGGGTGGGTTAGCGAGGGCTCTGCCGTGCGGTAGCCACAAGGACCAGCTACGGCATTGTGCGAGCTTCCTCGGCACCGGGAGAGAGCACAAGTGCCGCGATGGAGATAACGGTCGGCCATTAGCTCCCCGGGCTGATTTAGGACAGGGAACGCTCCCGCCTGCTGTGGACAGCACGGTCCTCGTGCATTGTCTTGTGAAAAACCCGCTGCTTGCAACGTCAGGCTTTGGCAATCTGGCTTCGGCACGCTGCTGCCCTGATTTACGGCGTGCCCTGATTGCCGGCGGCTGCTGCTACGTCTTGCATGTGAGGTCCGTCCGTGGGGCTGCGAGGGAACCTTTCGCCGGGGACCCCCGAGCTCGGGGAGTCCTGCCGGCCAGGAGGCAGAGGAGCTGTCCTGGGGGGAGGCTGCTTTGGGGCAGGGGGGCAAGGCAGAAGAGGAGGAGTGGGTTTTGGGGGAGAAACGGGATTCCTCAGTTAGGAGGAGGCTGAGGGCTGCCTTGGCACGTGCTCACGGAGACCCTGAGCAGAACAGGGATGGGGAGAGCTGCTCCGGTAGTTGCTGGACTGGGTAAGTTGGTTGTAAGTTGGTTGTCCAAGTTGATTGGGGCTCGGTTAGTCTCCGCAGACCTTTCCTAACCTTGCTTGCGGGTGGCGTGACGGTGGCTTTGAAACGGCCGGGATGGAGGCTGAGGTCTGCTTTTTATGGAGCTCCCGGCACCACCATGCTGCGTGCCGAACCTTGGGGACAGACCGGCACAAGGACCCCGGTGCGGGACACCCCAAAACAGCCCTCGGCAGAGACCGTAACGTCCCCGGGCAGCTCTGGTCCTCTTTTAAACCCGAGACACGCTCAGAATGCCTCCCTTGTCCCTTTGGGGCACCGGAGCCTTCGCTCTCCATCACCTCTCCTGTCCGGGCTGCTGCCGGCTGCCCAGGCGGCACCGGGGAGTTAACGTGGAGATGGATCTGGATCTGACTGTGCCACAGCATCTTACCGCGAGCGTGGGCAGGGGCTTGCTGTTTTTTGGGAGCTAGAAATGCTCCAGACGTGCCCCCCCATAGGTGCTGCTAGCTTACCTTTGAGATGGGGGGGGTCTCGAAATCTGCCTGGTTGAGGGTCTCCTGCTGAGGTGAGGGCTTTCTCTGAAGGGTCTCGGTGGGCTTTTGAGCTCAGGAGCACTTTGCCTTGCTCTGAGTCTGGGGAATTCCCCCAGGGACTCCACAGTAGCCTGTAACCTCTTCTTCCTTCCTCCCCTCCGCTCCCCACCACCGCTCCTCTGTCTCCAGGTGATCCGGAGGGGTTGGCTGACCATCAACAACATCAGCATCATGAAGGGAGGCTCCAAGGAATACTGGTTCGTCCTGACGGCCGAGTCGTTGTCCTGGTACAAGGATGAGGAGGTATGTGCGAGCGGGGAAGAACGTATGGGATCTTGGGAGAGGGGAGGCTTTGGGATTGGTGGGGCTCGGGTGAGAAGATCTGCGGGCCGGGGATGAGAATTAGCAGCCAGGACTAATGAATGTTGGCCGTCTCGTGGTGTGCAGGAGCGTGGGTCTCCTCTGGAGGGACACTGCGCCGTCCCAGCCAGCAAATTCCGTGTCTCCAGACACTCCCCGAGACCTCGGGATTTGTGTAAACACAGATAAACCAGGAGACACTGGCAAGCGGGGGTCCTGCGGGATCCGGCTGCCTGGCCCTGGTTGAGCCGGGGGGTTGGCCACGCCGTGCCGGCACCCCCTGTGCCCCTGCTTCTTTCGGGGAAGGTTTTCTTTGCCTCCCATCGCTGTTGTTGCAAGATCAAGAAGGATCGGGGACCCCTCCTTTTACCTCCCTGCCCTATCCCAGCCCCCTGTCGTGGGTTGTCAGCCGGTTCCTGGTTTTATCGTCTCAGCACAGCGAAGCCAGAGGAGCAATGGAGGTGGTCGGGAGGGAAACCACCTCGGTTCTGGCCCTGGGGAAAGGAAAACTGCCAACGCTGTGCGGGGCTTGGCTGCGGGTAAAGGAAAACTTGGTCTTAGACCCCCATGGGACCGTCGGTTTATTGTCACCGAGCCCCCAGCCCCGCCTCAGCCGTTCCCCCTGGGGTTGCTGCCCTGGTTTTTGCATCGTGCATCGTCCAGAAGCCGGCTTCGGGCAGGAGGTGGCGATGGGGTTAACATCCCCGTGCCGGGAAAAGATCTTGGAAGCTGGAGGGAAATGGGGAATGGGGTCAGGGAGGGGGACAGGAGATGGCTGCGGCCCCAGCTGAGGCATCTCCGCTGTCTGCGGCCCGGCCACCAACCCCCCCTCCAGAGCCGCCCCGGGAGCGTGGGGAGTCCAGGGCACGGCGAGGGAACCCGATTCCCTCCGCTCCTGGGGTTTTTGTGGGCCGGGACCCCCCGGGTCCCTCCTTGTCCCCCCACCAGGTGTCTGGGAAGGGGCCACTGCTGCTCCTGAACCCATT